GTCAAACAGAAAGGTGATGCCAACTGCTGAGCGGCAACGGTTGGCACTTCATGTTTGCTGTGAAGTCCTTCTATTGATGTTTCAATAGTTGGTAGCTCAAGCAGCCATGGAGGGTAGTTTTGGTCCAGTGACCAATGTGTCGACAAAGGAAGCTGGGAAATGTACTGTTGGTGCACATGGTGTTTTTGCGCTTCAGCACGGTTCACGATGTTGGATATGAGCGGATGGGAAGGGTTTGTCGTGACTAGACAAAAGAGGTGCCGACATGTCTGCACATTTATAATTACTATAAAGTTGGGTTCCCTTGCCTCTGCCAGTGTCAAAGAACTTAATGTCGCCTGTGGAACCCCCAGACATATGTGTAAGCTTCGTGCTTGTAACAGCAGAAGTCGGTGTAGCGACGTCTGTGAGATGTTGTGGAGAACTGGTGCATAGTAGGCAAATTTCTGTCGAATTAGTGCAGAATTGACGTGGAGGAGAGGCGCTGATGTATCGCCCCATTTTGTTCACGTGATGCGACGTATAACATTTATGGTTCTGTTCACTTGATTTTCTAGATCAGCAATATGCTGACTCCATCTGAGTTGGCTATCTAAGGTAACGCCAAGGAAGCGATGCTTTCATGCAATTTCGATTCTCTGGCCATCCACAAAAAGGTTCAAGTTTTTCACTCTTTTTCTCGTGAATGGCGGAACTAGAGATTTGGCGTGAGAAATCTGCATGCCTCGCTCTTTGAGGTAATCACTTATTGCGTCTAGCCCTTGTTGAAGCCGATGTTCAATCACTTCCAGTGATTTGTGAGTTGTCCATATGCATGTGTCGTCTGCATACATGGATATGTTCAAGGCTTCGGGCAGTACTTCTGGAAGACCTGCCATTGCAGCATTGAAAAGAAGCGGACTTAGAACGCTTCCTTGGAGTACACCTCTGCTCATGTTAAAGCGATCGCTGTCTCCGTTATTGATTGAAATGTATATTTGACTGTTACATAGGAAGTTGGCGATCCATTGAAGGATACGACCGTGAACCCCGAGTGAGGTAAGCCCGTGCACCACAGAAAGGTGGATGACAGAGTCGAACGCCTTCCTAATATCTATGAACGCCGCAACAGCCATGTTTCCACAGCTCATCTTCTGTTATACAAATGTAACGAGGTCGAAGACGCAGTCCGTGGTGCATCGCCGTCGTCTGAAGCCAGTCATCTGTTCTGGAACCGAGTTGTTAGCTTCAATCTACCACTTTAATCTTCTGTCAACCATTTTTTTCATTACTTTAGACACACAGCTAGTGAGGCTGACTGGTCGGAATGAGTTAAGCGAAAGCGGTGACTTACCGGACTTCAGTAGTGGGACAATTCTCGCGACCTTCCAACACATTGGAACGTACGCTTTCGTCCACATGTCATATATTCGTAGAAAAACTGGCATGCCGTTGGGTCCTAGATTTTTCAGAACACTGTACGATACGTTGTCGGGACTTGTTGCCGTTCTTACGCGGGTTATCGATAAAGCAGTACGCAACTTTAATAGATAATACGTGTTATCCAGTTGAGCATGTGATAAAGTTTATGCATCTTGGATTTGCTGCTCTACAGAACTAGGCAGTGCAGTAGTGTCAGGAACCATTTGCCCAATTCCAGTCAGCGTCGTGCAAAACTTATTAGAAACATCACGTTCAGATAATCTAAGAGATATGGCCAATGCTCTGAATGGGTTTTGCTGAGATACTGTATGACTTAGAGCGGTGATTGTGTGCCAGATTTTTGGAATTGGAGTAAAAGGTCAATGAATTGCAGAAATTATGCCATTTTTTCCGACCTAACTTTTGCATGTGTCGGTGAGATTGGACGTGTGTGGCTTGACTCTTCTTATAATCTTTAAGCCTCCCACTGCGGCGATAGCGACGTTCTGCTCACCTTCTAGTAGCTCGTAGGCGTTCATTGTCTGCATCTACACTGGAGTGGCCTGCTGGGACAGCTGTAAACCTTGTCACACGAGAGAAACTGGTTTTTGTGCAGGACATAAGCGTATCCAATTCATTGACTCCCTTCAAGTCATGTCCAGCATGTTCACAAAATAGTTTCCAGTCAGTTAGCTTTGAGATCAATGTGGTCGTTTGCACTTGCATTCTTGGGTGTTGCATAAGAACTGGGTGATGACCACTCCCTCGTGTTTCGAGGTCTGTACACCAGTTCATATCTCGTGCATTGTTAAGAGAGGCTATAGCCAAAGCTAAACAGCTGGCATATTTATTACCTCTTAAGCACGTTACTGATCCATCATTCAGTACAACAAGACCGAGTGTTCTCCCACGTGAATCAGTATGAGTACTGCCCCACGTGGTATTGTGCGCATTGAAATCTCCACAGATGAGGGCAGGTCCCTGGGCTTTACCCAATAAATAAACCAGAGATGATTCGGAGATGCGTGTCGATGGTTGCAAATATACACAAATTACGGTGATGGTAAGTTTCTGGAATTGAATTTTGCACCCTACAAATTCTGCACGTCTGAGTCCGACGAGTATAAAACGAAAGAGGGTATGTCGCGCCGTACGCATAACAGTGCCCTTCTTAGGCCTGGATTTCTTCTTGATGCATGTGTGACATAGTTAGAAATCCTAAAGTCAGGGGCAACGTTGGTTTCATTTAGACACAGAACGAGGAAGCTATACTGAGCAACGAGCTTCCTAAGTCTGCGCTTTTGGACCTAAGGCCATTCCACTGAAGCACAGCTGTGTTGGGAAACCGTTGTTCATGTGTAGAGCCATTTTGCTATACAACAATTCTTCGTTGTACTGCTAGAGGCTCTAATGAAAGGACTGCGCTCACCTCTGGTAGGTCATTGGCCTGTGGAAATACACGCAGGATTGCCTTCAAAGCAAGGAAGAGCATCGACATAACCACATCCACATCACTTGTTTTCGGTGCACGTTGCTGTTGTGCTTTTCGCTTTGGTGAGGTGAAAGGTGTAGACGCTGGGTTATCCTGAGTTGCTGACGGTTTTGGTGTCCTGCTGTCGCTTGTCTGCCTTTGAACGCTTGGTTATCGTCCTCTATGGTCTGTTTTGGCTGTACTTTTGTTTTTCTGAGCTGAAGCACGCTTGGCTACCGTCGCTTGCGAAAGTGGTAATGTACTTTTTTGTGATTTTGAAGTCACAGGGAGTGGATTCACAGTTTCAGGATTCGGACAAGGCGATCCCTTTTTTGAAGCTCTTCCAAGCAAACATTCTTGTCGCTTTAGTCGAATGGCTGCGTGGTGTTTCGGACAACCAGCATACGACGCTACGTGGTCTCCATCGCAATTGGAACATTTGGGATAATTCCTCGATGTACATTCTTTGTAATCATGTGCTCCTGCACAGATTTTGCAACGAAGTTGTCCATGGCACGATTTGGCAACATGTTTATATCGTTGACAGTTGTAACATCGTGTAGCGGGCTGTAGGTACTCTTCCACCGGATGACTTGTGAAGCCTGGGAGAATACGAGGCGGCAGTGGCTTGTCGGGGGAGAACTCAAGAATTACACTGCCGAGTAAATGTGGTTCTCCTGAACCCTCTTTGCGACGGAGCCATTTAGTTTGTGTCCTGACTGAGATTACACCGCTGTCTCTTGAATATTCAAGCTGTTGATCTTCACTGTATCGCACTGGTACTTGTCTAATTTTGCATAGGTTCCTCACATACGACTGCGGTATATACGGTGCCACTTCAAGACAAGCAACATGTGTTAACTCAGGAAATCTGGAGGATGCAGTAACTGCACAGACACTTGGAGAAGTTGCCATCTCTGTTGACATGGAACGACTCCAATTTCTCTTTAGCAGCAGATACTACTTCACTGGCCAGTTTGTTCGGATATACTTTTCAGAACAAGGCGCTAGGGTCTGTCAGCTTGAAAATTACGGTATATTCCTGCTGGTCGGGCTTTCTTGTACGTGACTGTTGTGAAAGGTCTGTCTTCTGCTTCTGCATCACAGTTCATTTCCGCGGATTCGAAGCTTTTTATATACTGTTCACTACGAGAGGCTCTTGCGCATGGCAGCGTACGACGTTCGATGCGTCTGAGCCTTTGGTGTTGCTTCGACTGTCGAGGGTGTTTGCATCGCTGTAATCCTCTTGATTAGGCAGGGGGACACAATTTCCCCAATGCTGTTTACCGCGTGCTTACAGGAGGTTTTCAGAAGCCTAGAATGGGAACAGTTAGGGATAAGAGTCAATGGAGAATACCTTAGTAACCTGCGCTTCGCCGATGACATTGCATTGCTGAGTAACTCGGGGGACGAATTGCAACTCATGATTACGGAGTTAGACAAGGAGAGCAGAAAAGTGGGTCTTAAAATTAATCTGCAGAAAACGAAAGTAATGTACAACAACCTCGGCAAAGAGCAGCGCTTCGAGATAGGTAATAGTGCACTTGAAGTTGTAAAAGACTATGTCTACTTAGGGCAGGTAATAACCGCAGAGCCGAACCATGAGAGTGAAGTAACTAGAAGAATAAGAATGGGGTGGAGCACATTCGGCAAGCACTCTCAAATTATGACAGGTAGATTGCCACTATCCCTCAAGAGGAAGGTATACAACAGCTGTATCTTGCCTGTACTTAGCTACGGAGCAGAAACCTGGAGACTTACAAAGAGGGTTCAGTTTAAATTGAGGACGACGCAGCGAGCAATGGAAATAAAAATGGTAGGTGTAACCTTAAGAGACAAGAAGAGAGCAGAGTGGATTAGGGAACAAACGGGGGTTAAGGATATCATAGCTGAAATCAAGAAGAAGAAATGGACATGGGCAGGGCATATAGCGCGTAGACAGGATAACCGCTGGTCATTAAGGGTAACTGACTGGATTCCCAGAGAAGGGAAGCGGGTTAGGGGGAGACAGAAGGTTAGGTGGGCAGATGAGATTAAGAAGTTTGCGGGTATAAATTGGAAGCAGCAAGCACAGGACCGGGTTAACTGGCGGAACATGGGAGAGGCCTTTGTCCTGCAGTGGACGTAGTCAGGCTGATGATGATGATGAATCCTCTTGATTATCAGTTCGCGCCTTCTTCGGAGTAACACACTCGTCGTCGGCATTAGGTGTCGTCGAGGGGCCATCACAGTCTTCCTCGGGTCCGCGAAACACGGGGTTATCTTGCTGTTCGGACGCATTCATCACTTCGTCTTCATCTGATGGGCGTCGAGAAGAATTGCCACCACCAGTAGCCGAAGCTTTTGCAGGTCGTGGCAGCCTAACATGAGACTTCGGCGCCTTGGAGACGTGGCGCCTGGTGCATCGCGAAAATGGTGGTTGAATCTTGGCAGTGAGATGCAGAAGACGAGTAAGAAAACTTACAAAATTGGCGAAAAAACAGCAGCGCTAGAAAACTCACGCCCCGTGATTCTTCACTTCGTCTTCCTTACTAAACCCATCTTAATTCTTTTTCATGCAGTGTGACGGATAGTTGCTACACGCGCGAAGTCCCAGCACTTGCTACACGAGAGGGTGCTGGGTCTTGACCCGAAGTACTGCTTCGAGCCTCGCCTGAATCCCTTTGAAAAGGTAGCCACAGCGAGTACGGTCTCGAGGTCTGCCAAGAAGCATGAACGTAGAAGGTGTGTTTCGGACTGTGTTGATACCATTGCCAGAACGGGAATGACATGGAGGGGCACGGACTCACTAAGGCCGCTAGTTGATTTTCTTTGTGGAAACAAACTGCATGTAATAGTAGCCGACAAAGAGAAAACTTTGCTGTTATGAATTCTGAAGCATATTCACAGAAGGGCGAGGCAGGAATTAAGAAAAATTTCAGGCGTGCCAGTGTTAAGGCCACAGAAGTAAAACACCGAGCGCTTTCCATGTTAGAAGAAATGAATCTGCAATTTTTGGCAGACAGCATAAAGAAGATTGAGCGTGACATGTAGTCAAGTTGTTACATGACACGCATGTAATGATTTTCATGTTAGGGTCTGTCGCATGTGTTCGCCATGCAATCATGTCGTACCATTCCAATTTTTGCAACATGCCATGTGAACAAAACCACCGCAAGAGTTGCAGGACTATGAAATGCGAATCATGACATTCACGACACCCATGTCATAATTTTCATGTTATAACTAGTCAAATATGTTTGTATACAGTCATGTTATGTCGTACCAAGTTTGTTACCGATACCATTATTTAAACGGCCAGGAGAGCTAAAAGTCGTAGGCAGCTAGATAGATATGTACTCTCAAAGTCACCGAAGTTCGCTAAGAAATGCTTCGTATTTAAAAGGAGCAGTTAGAAAGAGAAGGATGATTAGTCAGCTCAAGGCTACACATTACGGTCTCACGCTGTCCTTTAACAAGCACTCGTGAAGTCTGGAGGTCCATAAGAAGTCAAGAGGCTTTCGTGGCTTTGCGCGTATGCGAAACTGTCTGCAAGGTCCCAGGATCTTCTTTTCTGTAAGCGGCCGTGAATCCAGCTCAAAGAGCTTGGCTTCTATATTACGTCCTTCAGTGTGGTTGCTGGTCAGAGGCATAGAATGTGCTCAAGTGTCTCCTCGCAGGCGCAAGTGTTGCATGCTGAACAGCTCGCCATTCCAAAAAGACGAGAATACGCATTTGTAAATGCCACGCCCAACCTCATGCGTCACAGCAAAGTTTCAGCGCATCGTGCGAGCCGGGATGGCAAACGAAGTTGCAAGTTTGGGTCAATATGACGTAGAAAACAGCAGTTTAACCAACGCGTTGAACCGCCTCTGGGGCTCACATAACAGGGGAGAAACGCATATTTGATATTTTGTAATTATTTTGCTCATTGTGAATTGACCTTGTGGGTGGAACTTGATAGAACACTTCTGTACATATTAGTCAATAGGCGTATCTGAACCGTCATGTGATGTTCTGCTATTTTGTACTTTCACGTCATATGTCCTACTGTATTGCATTTTGTGTCCTTAGGGTTTTTTTTATATCATACCTTGTCCTTGTCTGCTAAGACAAAAGCAATAGCCGGTGTCGCCATATAGGCACCAACCTCTCCCATTTCATCGCTTTATTAAAAACGTTTCTCTACGTATTGCCCACCTGCTCTGGTCTGAGCAGTAAATTGCCGCAATACTACTATATATATATATATATATATGAGATATAACAGACAGTAATGCCAAGGAATGTACAGGGGAAGTTATTAACATTAATGGAATGTAAATAAGAAGAAAGAAAAGTGGATGAAAAAATTACCAACTGTAAGCAGGAATCGAACCTACGACCTTCGAATTGCGCGTTCGATGCTCTAACCACTGAGCTATTACAGCGGCCCTCCCTCCATCCACTTTTTTGGGTTTATCTGTGAATTTAGAAGTAGGAGCGACAGTCAGCGCCATCTATAAGCCAAACAACGAGTGTGAAAACACTCTTATGCGCATGTTTGGCGTCACGTAGCACGTGAACTTATTATGAGCGGGCAGCTAATAAATTGTCCCTCTTATACAACCTAAACACACCAAGTCTGCCAGTACGAGACCCTCGTTCAATGAAATAAGGGAAAGAAGTGTATACCTAAGGGCTCGTTTTTTCCGTGTTTTTAACACAATAATAATGAGATATAACAGACAGTAATGCCAAGGAATGTACAGGGGAAGTTATTAACATTAATGGAATGTAAATAAGAAGAAAGAAAAGTGGATGAAAAAATTACCAACTGTAAGCAGGAATCGAACCTACAACCTTCGAATTACGCGGTCGATGCTCTAACCACTGAGCTATTACAGCGGCCCTCCCTCCATCCACTTTTTTGGGTTTATCTGTGAATTTAGAAGTAGGAGCGACAGTCAGCGCCATCTATAAGCCAAACAACGAGTGTGAAAACACTCTTATGCGCATGTTTGGCGTCACGTAGCACGTGAACTTATTATGAGCGGGCAGCTGATTAATTGTCCCTCTTATACAACCTAAACACACCAAGTCTGCCAGTACGAGACCCTCGTTCAATGAAATAATTCGAAGGTCGTAATTCGAAGGTCGTAGGTTCGATTCCTGCTTACAGTTGGTAATTTTTTCATCCACTTTTCTTTCTTCTTATTTACATTCCATTAATGTTAATAACTTCCCCTGTACATTCCTTGGCATTACTGTCTGTTATATCTCATTATTATTGTGTTAAAAACACGGAAAAAACGAGCCCTTAGGTATACACTTCTTTCCCTTATTTCATTGAACGAGGGTCTCGTACTGGCAGACTTGGTGTGTTTAGGTTGTATAAGAGGGACAATTAATCAGCTGCCCGCTCATAATAAGTTCACGTGCTACGTGACGCCAAACATGCGCATAAGAGTGTTTTCACACTCGTTGTTTGGCTTATAGATGGCGCTGACTGTCACTCCTACTTCTAAATTCACAGATAAACCCAAAAAAGTGGATGGAGGGAGGGCCGCTGTAATAGCTCAGTGCGTTGGTAAACATAGATAATGGAGACCAAAAATACGGGTTGAAGTGGGAACAATTTAAACAGAATATAAAGTTGATAGCTATAGAACGCTCATGTGTAATAAAACACGGAAAGAGTGAAGAAGAAAGAACCCTACGTTTAAATCTCAAAGAACTGCTAGCAGAGGACAGCAAAACGCCAGGCTTATTCACAAATGATATAAGGTCAGTAAAGTCCAAATTGGAACAAATTGATGAGGAGAAGTATCGTGGCGCACAAATAAGGGCAAGGGCAGAGAAAATGACCGTAGGAGAGAAACCGACCAAAAGAATGCTTGGTCTCGAAAAACGAAACGCTCAGCGGAATGTTATACATCATATTGAATACATGGGTAACGTTACAAGTGAACAAAGATATATAGAGGATGCTTTCAACGAGTACTACACCACTTTATTTGATAAATGTAAAGTAAATGTAGATGAATTCAAGAATGAATTTTTAAAATTATGCCAAAGGTTGAGGACTGCAGGAAAGACAGCCTAGAATGTCCTATTTCTGAACCGGAAGTGACAAAAGCAATCATTGCTCTCCATTTGGGAAAGTCCCCAGGACCTGATGGCTTAACAGCCGCATTTTATAAGGAATTCAAACACGAACTAGCACCGATCCTGGCAGCGGTTTTTAACGAAGCCCTAGACATAAAGACTTTGCCACCTTCTTTTCTGCTATCTCATACTATTTTAATACGAAAAACTGAGGACGCAGTTAAATTACGTGAAGTGAAATCGTACAGGCCAATTAGTCTCTCAAATATCGACTACAAGATTTTGATGAAAGTGCTAGCAAGGAGACTGCAGACAGTTATTAATAACATTGTAGGCGACCACCAGACATGTGGGATCAAACGGCGCACTATATTCACAAACATTCACAAGGCACGAAGTGTATTGGAGTGCTGCGATGCCACAAATGATCACATCGCGATGATCCAGATAGATTTAGAAAAAGCATTTGACCGAGTACCGCACTAAATTCTTTTTCTTTTGTTAGACTATGTCAATGTTGGCAAAGTAATTCGAGATACAGTTCGAATGGCATATACTGGATGTAAAACTCGGCTAATCATCAACAAAGTTCTTGGGAAACGAATTAATGTCAGACGTTCTGTACGACAAGGCTGCCCTTTGTCTTCCCTGCTATTTTCAATTTATATAGAGTCATTTTGCCAAAAAGTCATGAAAAGCAATAACATAGTGGGGTACAAACTACAAGAAGCTGAAGTGCGGGTACTGGCATACGCAGATGATATAGCTGTGTTTTGTAAAGATTATGATAGTATCGCTGAAACCATAAAAATTGTAAACCTTTATTGTAATGCAAGTGGTAGTTTGGTAAACTGGAGCAAGTGCCTGGGTTACTGGCACGGCGAATGGCCTGTGACTCCACAATTTGTGGCTGGTATTTCATGGACTACTACTCCGGTACGATACCTAGGTGTGCCATTAGAATATTATTGTGACAGTGAACCGTACTGGCGGCGTCAGGCCGTGGAGCTACGAGAAAAAGCTGAAAAACTCAATGGTTTCCAGCTATCAATTTTCGCCAGAGCGACATTTTGTAACGTATTTTTAGTCGGTAAGCTCTGGTATGTCCTTCAGGTAATGCATTGTTCACGTGTGAATCTACAGAAGCTTCATCGAATATTTGCTGTTTTCTTGTGGGGTTCTTCTTGGGAGCGAACAAGTAGAACTAACTTATTCAGACGGGTTCGCTCTGGAGGACTTGGTCTGTGTCATTTGTACCTTCGTCAGTTAGTTAATCGGTTTATGTTTTTCCGAAATAATCGAGACCCATTCATACGTACTGTTATACAGC